TGAGCCAATGGCATGAGGCCTGAAGTCAGGTCGAGTTCGTTCATCTCCTCTGTGGAGCCCTGAAGAGACTGTCCTTAAACTCTCGGCTGTCAAAGCTGCCGCTTTTGAGTTCCTTTTAAATATTAAAGATTTCTTCTCCTCTTTTTAATCAGCCAGAGTCCTTGTTGGTTACTGATAAAGAATTCTGGCTGATGGGCACCTTCCAGGTAAGCAAGGGTGGCAGAAATTAACTTTTGTGGGACGCTGTGCAGCAATAAGAATAGATTCATAAACATCATTTATTGACGTGTGAACCTGCTAACTCATGCACTCAGCCGGGACAGAGACCTTGTTTTTTTACTACAAACAGGAATCAAAACGTGATTAACAATGTGGGACTAACCCATCCTGCTCATTTAGACCCATGATTATTAGGAGAGGCTGCCTCGTGCTGAGGCGGGAGCTGGGAGAAGTCTGCAACTCACAGAAGTCCTCACGTCACGTAGTGTGCCCCTTCTCAGTGAATGGTATCATGTAGAAAACAGCAAGTGTTTAAAGTTTTTGAATTTTAGATTTAGTACTTGTTATGATTTGGATTGTATTGCCCCCAGAAAATTGTAGTTAGGGTTAAGTCCTAACCCCTAGCCCAAGGAATTTGACCTTGTTTGAAGTAGGTTTCTTTGACAGGTGTAACTGATCAAGATCATGTTATACTTGAGTGGGGTGGGCTCCCAATCTAATCTGGCTGGTGTCCTCCTCAGAAGACTGTCTGGTGAAGACACACGCAAGGAGGACGCCACGTGATGGCCAAGGCAGAGACGGGAGTGGGGCAGCCACAGGCCAAGAAACGCCAGACCGCCAGGAACCACCGCAAGCCAGGAACGGGTTTCAGACACAGCACAGCCCTGAAACGGCTTTGAACGTCTGTCCTCCAGAACGGTCAGGCGATGTGTATCTGTGGTTTTAAGTCGTTCACTTTGTGATACTTTGTTACGGCAGCTCTAGGAAACTAATACAGTATCCCCTGTACTTTTACAAAGGACATTGTCTCAGTTGCAGAAACTTTGCTAAAATAAGTCCAGAGGGCAAACATATATGCATACACTGTGCTTTATGACATGAAAAATTACCTCCAGCCTCAAACCCCTTTCTAGACCTCTTGCCTCTGACTTCTTGTTCTTGCACCCACACCATCCCAAATCCACCAGGGCTGGGCGTGATGTGAATAGCTGCTGCCTCTGCTCTGTGGACTTCCTTTCCCTTTGGGAAGCCCTTCACAGGTCCACAGAGATCAGGCCACAAGCCAACTGGACCTCTGTCACTGACCCAACACTTTCACTAGCAACAACATCCTGCTAGTTTTTCTACTTCTTTCCATCTCGTGTTCAAATTCTGGTTACTGCATGTCTGTGGCAGTCAACCCAGATATTACAGAAAGAATGGTTCTGCCTGTGATGACAACATTACTCGAGGCCTGATATGAAGGGACAGAGCTCAGGGTCCACTTACCTGCCTGCTCCTGAGCCCCGGGGCATTGCCATCTCTCCTGTTTGGGGTGGATCTTGCCCCAGCCCCAGTCAGAAGCTGAAACCTCCCCCATCTGCTGGATGGGTTATGTCTATTGGTAGAAAAATACTTTGCAAGGTTTCCCACAAAAGTCATCGATCAAGAAAACACTATAGTATTTCCTAGAAGGAAATGTAATGGCTGAATGAACCAAAAACCTGCATTTCTCTTTAGAAAACCTAATAAAGCTTCAAACCTTGCAAATTCAACAAACGTTAAAAGTCTGCCATGTACGGGCTTTGCTGTATGCTCTGACTTAGGGGGACAAGGAGGTAAAACATTTATCGTCAAGGAAATGTCAGAGCACAAATAAGTAGGGCACCAAAGACCTATTATGGGAGGCAAATACATGTGCCCGAGAGACATACGGCTGGAGCTGTGTCCAGGAACAAGTATCTTCAAAAGCCCTACCTCCCGTCACACTGTGGACCAGCTAATTAGCATACTTACCGAGACTCACGGCTCACTCGTCCAGACCAGCCTAAGATTCCCACCGCTCTGTGCCCACACAGTGCTGTGCCCAATGCTCTTACGTCAGAAACTCTGCCCGGCCTCAGGACCTGCTTTGAAATCACCCCACCCAGGCCTCAGAGCCCGACTTCCCCCTTCTGAGAGGTGACTGACCCTCCTTCCAAGTGGTGCCCTCCCTTACTGCAGTGAATATAAACTTGGCCCTGCTTAACCAACAGGGGTTCCCTCGTTCTCGGGCAAAACGATTCCCAGTATTTGACATGACCAATGCCATCTCACAAAGAAAGCTGACTTTCAGCTGATCCCTGGCTGGGGTGGCCCTGTACCACCTGAAACGCATAACCTTGCACAGCTAGATGGGCCCATCGAGTTGTTTACTGCTTTGGATTCTACAGCTCTTAACCAGCACGTGCCATGTGGCCACAGGCCACCTGAGGCCATGCCACTTGGCTGTGTGACAAGCCCCATCCCCTTTTGGGCGCAGAGACCCACTGTCTTGCTGCCCAGGAAGCTGCTTCTGTGTGTACGTTCCCTAAGTTGATGCAGTTCTGGAGTTACCAGACTGTTTCTTCAGTCTCAGCCCTGGGAGAGTTTTCCCAACACTCACGGACACAGAACTCAAGCTGGTCTAATCGGAGTTTTAATAGAGAGTCTGGTGCTTGGGAGGGGATGTTGCAAATAATCTAAAGCTGAAATAGGGAACCAGCTGAGTTGAGGGGAGGATGGGACAGGCAGGACTTCCGTGTCCTCATGGGAGAAGCAAGGTGACTGCGTGCATTGCTGTGTCTTGAGACTCAGACCCTGTAAGCCAGTTCTTTGGGACACATCAGGATCTTGGGATTTGTGAACTACCTCTTTATGGCTTCAGTAAAGTATTTGAAGAAAGACATAAGCTGCCAGGCAAACTAGCCCATTTGAAGGTATAAAGGAAACAGCCATCAGCTTGGGTAATAACAGCTCGCGTTCATTGCATGCTCCGCACCAGATGTCATTCTGAATGCTTTACATGGATTTTCTCAATTTCCACAACAGCCCCGTAGAGTGTGTGCTGTTGTTATCTCTACAGGGAAAGAAACCGGACCCAGGAAGATGCCGTCACCTGACCTGGGCTGGGGAGGGGCAGCACTGAAAAGCAAACTCAGCCAGTCTTCCTGTGCAGTCTACGCATTTAACCCTTCACTGGCAGCCAGACAACCGCAAGGGGACAGGTAGCCCACGCCTTGCAGAACTGCAAGAGCCAGAGCCTCTGCTTCAAACAAAGGTGCGTGATGAGAGAGTCAGGAAACTACAGCAGGACTGGGCCCTTGGAGACGGCAAAGACACGGGATGGGGATTTCATCTCCAGACACCTCCTGCCGCACCGAGGCCGTCATTTCTGCCGAAGCACTGGGCTCTGGGGTGCAGTCTGGGGCAGGGGCAGACCCCTTTTGTTTCAGGTTTTTCTTTTCCAATGACATTTCCCATGTAATATTATTTTATGTTAGTTTCAGGCATACTGTTCCAGTTTTTTTTCCCCCCCAAAGCTGAGGAACAGAATGGAGCCACTCAGCTGAAGATGAAGGGCATGGACAGGAAGTCTGTGGCCAACAGACAGAAATCAGAAAGATGGCCCCAAGTTTAAGGAACTGGATCTGGGCCTGTGGCCCACAGCGTTGCCAGATATCAGATCTGCCAGCAACTAACTGGTTTCTTTTTTAAGGGTTTTATTGCCAAGGAAATGTTTACAGCCCCAAAAAGGGGCCTAGAATTCCTCCACCTTCGCAGAAATCCCGAGGCTTCTTCCGCACACCTCCCATAACCACGCCGACAGGAAGAGGGCTGCCTAGGGTGTGCTCACCCAGGCGCGACCCTGGGGCAACCTGCTGCGAAGCAGAACCAGAACCGGGGGCCAGGACTGGCTGATCAGAAACCCGCTCCACCCCCGGGGCAGGGAGCCCTTGCTAGCCCCAATCTGTAGGAAAAGTGTACAACTTGGATCAGTGACAGCTGTGTGTAGCTTTCCCTTCCCCCTTTTCCCAAATGGGAACGTGGGACCTGCAGTACCAGTTTCTTCCAGTGTCATGCGGGATAATATTCATATTTACCACATGGTATTGTTGTGAGGATTAAGTTCTATAAAAGATGCTTAGGTCTCGTACAGCACAGAGTAAGTGCTCAATTAGTATTGGATGTGTTGTTTTGTCATGTCCTGGATGGGTAGGAAATAGTTCAATTGCTCACTGACTTATAGATTGTCAGAACGGAGTGGCCACGCAGGGACTTTGGAGGGGTGGACAGGCCCTTGACCATGCTCAGCCTGGGGCTCAGTGAGCTAGGAGGTCCCCCTTGGATGCAATGGCTGGATCTGATTTTCACTTGCTTCCTTTGGGGGAAAGGTGGGTAAGTTTTGGGATGTTTTTTTAATGAGGTGGTAGAATTATTTTAAGTTGAATCATTCTTAAAAATGTCTGTAGAAGACGGGCATGTGAATGCAGGCATGATCCCATATGGCGGGAAATCAAAGGATGGAGAGGAAAGGACATGTAGTAATTGAAGCCCATTTTGTGACAGTGCCCTCAGCCCCTCCCAGCCAGCCCATCCTAACTGGTGCAATAGAAAAGCAAGGAGCTGTGTGATTCCATTTTCCTGGAGTGAAGGGTGCTGAGAAAGAACCAGGGGGACAAGGTAGAAAACTGGGAGGAAGGGATCGTGGTGGGTCACAATCGCTGCGCTGTGGGACTCAGACTACAAGGACCAGGAGCCCTCCTCCCAGATCCCTCTGGCGAAGTCTAAGAGCTCTCACAGTCCCCGCTGCCGCACCTAGCTCTCCTGACAACACGTTATCACCTCGGCACCTGGCTCACAGGTTCGGCCTGGCCTCCCCAGGAAGCGCAAGCTTCCCCCCACCCCCCGTGCAGGGCCTTTCTCTTGCTGCACCTACTTCCTCCCTCCCGGCCAGGCCCTGAGCATGCAGCCGGTGCACACACCTGACAGGCGACAAGAACTGATTTAGAACCACTTTATTTGAAGACATTTTCTTCTAGAGTTCTAAACACAAAATGGGTGCTGGTTGAGCAAGTGCTTCATAGGCATCATTGTATTTAAATGAACCATATGATAATGTTTACATTTTAAGTCACGCTTGAAACTGAAGACTCAGTACAATCTTTTTAACAATGTAGCAGTCATAACAAAACATAACTATTTATTCTACAAATTATCATTTTTCCCAAAATGACCACTAGATATGAAAACATTGTAGAGACATCTAAAGAGCCCCTATAAGATTTTTTAGAAGAAAAATGACAATAATTACATTTTACATTTTCCTTTTTTAACTAGTAACAAACTAGGACATCCGTGGGAGAAAGCACCAGCCAACTCATTGAAGTAATTTCGGCACACTTTTGTTCCTCAAAATTGAATCTTTTACAGTTAATCTGTCTCCCGTAGGAATGAATAAAAATGGTTATGTCAAGTGCAGAAGTCAGCATGTGCCAACTGGTATGTACTTTGTATCGTGCCCCAAAGTTAACACAAAAAAATGAAAAGTGAATACATGTGAGGGAAACATAAGGCTGGGAAAACACCCTTTGACAGTTCACACAATGGCAAAATCAACGCACTTTTGGTCCGAACTAGTGCCTTACTCTCTTTATGGAAGTGTTTTAAAGGCGTGGGTATAAATGCGCACACAGGCAGCTTGCCTCTCTGTGAACACGAACGTCCCTGGCTTTGCTCCTTCTTTTCAAGGGCTCAAGTTGCTGAGTCTTCAGCAACATAGGCTGTGGTGCCCAGTAAGTATTTTTATATAAAGATCACATAATGCCCCCCCCAAAAGAAGTACAGAGATTATGAAAAGTAGTGAGGAAAAAAGCACACCATAAAAACAAAAATATAATGTTCAAGTTTAGAGAAAAGCTGGTACATGGCAGCAAATCATAAATGGACAGACTGGACCGGGCCTGAAGAGGCTGCCAAGCCAGAGAGAGCCTGTGCGCCTCACCAAAGTGGGTGTGTTTGAAGGACGCTCTACTTACAATTATGGCGAACATTTTCACAAGGTGGTAAGCTCTTCAAGGTCAGGGATGGTGGCTTATTTACATGTGTCCCTAGTTCTTAGCCTTGCCTTCTTGCATATGACAGGCTGAAAATATTTCTGGGAACCGGGGAGCTGAGCTAAATCCCCTCATTACTTCTAAAGCCATTGTGGGTAGTATCTACTCACCTAATTCATCCATTGTCTGTCTAAGGCAGAGATGACAAATACTTCACCTCTCTGACAGGCTGGTGATGGACTCTGAGGGCAATTCCTGGTGCAGAGGAAAGCTGTGCCACTCACCCATAATGCCACCTTGAAGGACCGATGACACGGAGTGTCACCTTTCTGCTGCTATACTGCCTCTCGAATGCTCTGCATTAAGCCACTGCTCATTAAACGCTGGCTGACCAGGAAGACCGAGGCCTTTCCATTCGATCAGCCTGCACTTAAACAGGTAGAGTCGTGACTCGAACCTGGAAATTTGAAAACACGGCATCCACGATGCTCAGTAAGTAAGTTTATTGAAAGAGAAGGAGCATTTACTCGCTCGCTCCTTCTGTGGAGAGTGAATGTACTCCACGTGCTCCATCTCAGTATGACTTTGATACTTAAGGCATTTGGAATTACTTGAGATCTTGGTCCAAAGAAATGGCAGAGTCCACCTCTTTGGTGTTCAGGCTTAATCTACTTGTTTTGTGCTGTGATCCACAACCTTTGCAGTACTTCATTGCCATGACTTACCTGACCCTGTTGAAATAATCAAATCTCACAGGTTCATTAGAAAACCCTTCAAAGAACACTAAAGGGCGAGGCCCGACACTCAAGGCATTGAAAAGAAAATCAGAAAGAATGAAAGAACCAATAACCACATCCTGTCCCCCCACCAACCCAAGCTCAAGACTCACTCACTGTCTGGGGTTCAGACCATTCTAGGTAAATAGGGGGCTCCTGGCAGGGGGGCCACCATGGGGGCTCCTCCCGGAACTCCCCTCCCCACAGTGGAAGGTCAGCACCCCACAGAGGCATCTCAGGAAAGACAGACAACACAGAGAAAAGGAGAAAACAGAGGGATAGTATTAAGGAGCAAAATCCTGGGGGATTAGGGATGCTTTTCAAAGCAGCTTCGCCTTGAACATGGGTGGAGTCTTCACTGTAACACGGCACCGACAAGGGAACAGAGCTGGATGGAAACGGCCCTCGAAATGTCAACACAGCTGATGAGCGCAGCAGGAGGAACGACGTCCCGAATTCGCCGACCTGCCCCTAGTGCACATTCTCCCTGGCCCAGAGCTACAGCGCCTTGTTAGAAGCCTGTGAGTCCCGGAGAGAGCTGCGCCACGCCAGGGGACACATGCACACACCGATACACGCGTGCACACACACACACGCCAAACCGGATTTATAAAAAGAGCTTTTCGCATCAGAATATGCCTTCACTTGGTCCAAGGATCTAATTGTTGGCATTAGGAAAACAGGCCCAAAGAATGTAATGAGGAAGAGAGCTGGTTGGCAGGACTAATACTGCATTTAATACAATGTGGTTATTTACAAGCTAATCTATAATTGCTTTTATAGAACTACTTCAACTGGCTTGAATCTTCTGAATATGTAAGGTTAAGACTTTAAAAATTTAAGCTCTGTGGCAATAGAAGTTAAAGCTACCTAAAATAAATTAGATTTTAAAACATGTGTAATGGAATACAGATCACTAGAAACTCAATTCTATAATGAATATAAATGAATATCAACCTATTATTAAAGTACCACTCTCAGGAAGATTTCAGCTCAGAGTTGTTGGGTTTTTTTAAAAGGCTATTTGAGAATAAATGGATATGGCTTAGAAACCCTTAAATGGTGTTCTGAGTACTGATAAGATTAGTTGGTGACAAGATACAAAGATCTGTCCCCACGTCCACAATAAAGGATTACCTCATTTTTCACCTGGTACTATTCCTGAAAAGCTGTGCAAATACAATTCTGACAGCCAGACCTCTATTCTAAATACACGAGGAGACCATGACTGTAAAGAGACCCTGTGGCAACTCCTCTGATGAATGGAAGAGCTTGTTAACTCCTCTCCACTATGTGTGCATGGTGAATGCCGACTGGAGGCACTCGAGCGTGTCTGGTAAACACGTGAGTGTGTCACGACAGTCTGTCCGTCTGTCTGTCTGTCTGTGGAATTTGCCCAAAGTGAGGCACACTGCAACCAGAATGCTGGAACAGAAGGACAGAATCCAGCACACAGTTTAACTGATTCCATTGCAAAGGATTAGAGAATTTCAGACAGTGTTTATCAATCAAAATACAATTTCTGTAAGTATGTGTGTTCTGTTTTTAAAGACATGCTGATCTGTGATTGGCAGAAGCTTTTATCCGCTGTGACCCGACTTATGGAAAACAAACAAGTGCTTGAACGAGGATGCATCTGATCTAACCGCTGAGGCAAGCGGAGCCCCTTACCTAAGGTCACGAACACCCCCGGTGCCGGGCCACGGCCATAAGAGCTTCTTCCCCTCTCTCCAGCACCAACATTTCACAGCTGCCCTCGCCTTACCCCACAAAAGCAAAGCATGAATTACAGGGCTAAAATTAAATCAGAAAGATGCATGATCTAAACATAAGATTATTTTTTCAAATCTTAAAAGAACTAATAAGTCAATTACTTTCAGTAAAAGTAACTCTCAAAGGCAGTGTTTTTTGTTATTTGGTATTTCTTTCCCTTCTCATCTGAATTTAGATTTAAAACTCAAGTTATATATACACACACATATATATTATATATATGATATATATACATGTCTATATATTAACTATATAGACACATATACAAATTATATATATACATATATATATCTCCATCCTTTTAAACATGGCATCTTCTTTTAAACAATACAGAATGCCTAGCAATGCAGCTTATCTGACCACATACATCCGCAATCTGCCACATAAATAAAACGAAGGCTATATCTGCCTATTTACTCAGCATTCATAACTGCAAAAAAGACTGGAAAAGTAGCTGAGAATGTCTTTACCGAGTTTGGGAGGACCGGGTCCTGCCTTGCAAGGCTTCACTGCACAGCTGCGTCATTGCGCCTTGCCTGGAAGGTAGCAAATAAAATGTGCAAACATAGAACCCTGTTTTCAACACACTGGAAGTGAATGCAGGCATAACTGAGGGAGGGGGGGGAGAACACAGTGTTAATATAAATGTTCGTCAAGTAAGTGAACAACAAAATAAAACTTTCACTTAAGGTATTCATGATATTTCAAGTGACCCAAATAAAACACATTTTAAAACCACCCTTACCACCCACGCCGGTTACTGGCATTGGTCCTTTACTAAGCAGACACAATGAAGGTTGTTCGTGATGATCAGTTTTCACCACCGGCCTAAGGGTATTATATCTGGATGAAAACATGATCATGGATTTGTTCCCATAATTTAAAAGCCAATAATTTAAAAAATAATGAAGTTGGTCTCTTCTCTCCACAAGTTTTCAAGTAATTTGTTCAAGTCAGCTTGTTGACAGCAATTGTACATGTGACCTACTTTAACCCACAGTTTCCCTTTAGAAATCAGTCTCCCTTGAAATGGGACACACTTCTTTGTGGATAATTTTTTTTTGTCTGGAACCAAGTGTCTTTTAAACACTAGGTCTGCTCAGTCACGTTTCTGTTTTATTGGGCAGATAAAGAGAGGACACCAGCAAGTTATGTCCAAAGGCCGGGAATCGCCTAAATGCCTCCCAGCTGTCGGAGAAGATGTTGTACTTGAGGAAAACTCGATGCTCCAGGCTGGTGGACAGGGTGACGTCTCTGCTCATGATGTAGATGCCGTCGTTGTGCAGTGCGCACGTCAGGTTGAGGCCCGACTTGGACGTGTTCTCCTTGAGGTAGAGCCACTGCCGCGTGACCGTGTTGTAGGACTGCACGGCGAGCATGTCCTCGCTCTGGCCGCCCCTCCGGTGGGGCCCCAGTTCATGGAGACACCCGCCCACGATGTAGATGGTCTCCTCCACAGACACCATCTGCTGCTTGCGAATGTGCACGTCACACGTCTCAAAGAGCGTCCACATGTCGGAAGAGGGGCAGTACTGCAAAATGTTCATGTTCCGGTCTGAAACGAGAGGAGCAGCCGAACGATGACACAGTCCTGAGCAGCACCAGGCACTGCCTGTGCTGTGAGTAACCGCCTGCGCTGTGAGTAACCGCCTGCCTCCACTGGAATAACTGATACCCAGAGGCAAAACCCTTTCAGAAAAGCAGAGCTTGGGAAAGCAGTGTTTAGAGATGGCTGGGAGGGGATCCATCTGGAACTGCCCCCCACTCACTTCACAGGCACCCACGTCCCTGCCCTGGAAAGCTCTCGGAATCAGTAAGGCCAAGGAGATGAGCGGTTGTGACCTGCGTATCACCCCACCCCACCTGACACCCTTACACCTTTTAGAACCAATGGACCAATCAATGTGAGAAGAAGCAGAGCCTCAGAAACCTCATCAACACCCCCAGACTGACTGCCCCGCCCCCCACAACTGCATTGTCAACTTAGTGCAGATGACAGCGTGAGCCCCGAGAACATCTACTCTTGCCAACGGATTCTACTAAACAAGACAAGTGAGCCAAGCGGGGTTTTCAGGGCTGTCAGAAGAAAAGAACACAAAGTTGCAAGTCGGGAGAAATGCCAAGTCTCACCTCTGGCCTTGGAGTCACAGAATCACTTGGCAATTTTATTTCCCAACTGTAACCACAGAGACACACTAACAAAGGCCCTCCCCTCTCCCTGGCCCATTTCAAAGGGGATAGTTACTGTGTGGATAAAATCAGACAGCAGATGAAAGACTGCTTGCTGTGACATTACTTTAAATGATTAGCTGTTTTAAGGGAAAGTATCACCTACTGTCCTTTTGAAAAATGCTTGTGAGATTTAAAATATCTTTTCCACTTTTTCTCTTCTTCTCTTGGAAAGAATATTTTAGTTTCACAGGGGGGAAAATGCTGAGTTATCAGAAAGAATGAACTTTCTGTTTGTTGTTGTTGTGTGTGTGTGTTTAAGAAACAACAAAATCTATCAGCATAAGAGAGAGCTCGGCTTCACACACAACTGAAGTGATCAGCCTCCTGACTGCGGCAGCAGCGGGATCCCCACACAGACAGCACTGATCACAGAGCTCCACCCCTGTGTCTCCTGCCGAGACAGGCATCTCCTGGGGGTCACCAAGGGAACACCAACCCTGTGTGTGCACAGGCCCCTGTACAAATTTTAGAATTGCTGTGGCCTCAAGGACTGTTCTCCTGTTTTTCACCCACACTACTATCTCCCTATATTCCTTTTTACTGCAGCTATTGTGATAAAGCTCATTCTAGAAGACAGCCCAAAGGAGCTCAGTTGCTAATCTATCAGAAAGTGCTCCTTAGGAACCTGGCTCCCCACCGCTGAATAAAGGGCTTATTCCAGTGAAGCGTCAGTGTGTTTCTCGGTCCCAGGTCTGGAGGTCTTCCCAGGCCTTCTGTAAATGTTTTCTCTCCTTGCTCAGCGAGGGAGTGAGGACTCAGACCATGGTGAGGTGGTTTGAGTTGGAGGAATGATCTTTTTGCCTTTATGTGTACAGTGGATTCTGAAGTTTAACAAACTACCCTTCTTCCCATTAGTGGTTACTATTACTTTCTATTGAATTTTTACAAAACTCTTCAGAGTCTGCCAAAGATTTATAATAACCAAATAGCTATCATAAAAAGCTTGAACTGCAACTTACTAAATTCTAAAAGTCTCACTCAAGAAGTCAGTAGCTAAGAACTCAGTGTTAAGCCCTGAATTGTTTCTCATAACAATTGTGATTTGTTTTACGTACAGAGGATTCGGAGGGAGTACCAGGAAGAGCCTAAGCAGAGAAGAAGGGGGCTTCAGAGTACAAGTAACTGTCCCACCCTCTCATCTTAGAAAACTCATTTCCAGCACTTCCACAAACACCCACCCACCCACATCACCTCACCGTCCTGTCCAGGGTACCTGGTTTGGGGAAACTGGGACAGGATTCTCAGTGGGTGGCCCAAGTCAAAAAGGTACATTAGTAGTGGCTTTGGGAACTAGAAAACACACAAGCAAGGGTTTTCCAGGTCAAATCTAAAGAACACTCACTCAGCCAGGGTCATGGAAAAACCGGCCAGTCCACCGGCAGAGCACTCCGGGGTGCCATGCTGCGGCCAGGGCTCAGCGCCTGCTCAGGAGAGGACCCGAGAGACCTGCGCACAGGCAACCCAGGGGGCTCCTTCTGAGTTACAGAGCCCAGCGGGGAATCGCAATTCTGAGCAATGTTCACAAGTGAGTAACTGCATTTATGTTCCTGGGAGAAAAGACACACAGATGCTCAGGTGCACGTACACACACAGACTCTCCAGAGGCTACGGTTTAGCTAAGCACATAAAGTTGGCCTGCACAACCTGAACACCAATGTTGAAGATGAATGAATTGAGTGCCAGGTCTCTCTCTCTCTCTTTTTTTTTTCATTTATTTGTGAAGGGGAAGCTGGTCACCGTCTTCAGTGCAGGGTTACCTGCGAGGGACATGGGAAGGGCTCACGAGTGATGAAGACTTGGGTGAAGGAAAGCTTGCTGCTGCCCATGCAGCCCTCCCCATCACTGCTGCTCCTTCACTGTGGAAGCACACCACCAGCGGGAGTGAGTTGAATGGTGACCCTCAAAAAGACATGTCCACCTGTCCCCTCAGAACCTTTTGATGTGACCTTCCTACCCAGAACAGCAGAATAAAACCCGCCAGAGAAACACTGTATCTGCACATTATGAACCACGACAGACTGTAAGGCTGGCTCTCCAGAGCAAAAGAAAACCCACTCTTTTCTTCACAGCCCCCCCCCCGCCCCATCCCATTTCCATGCTCACGCAAAGGCATCAAAGGCCCGCTCCTGTGCACACCACCCTTGTCGAATGGGACTTGCTTCCTTTCAGGTGTGTAAACATACAGTACACAATGCACAGAAGCACACTCGCGCACACTGCAGTGTGCTCTCTGGCACCCCCACCCTTGCCCAGGCTGCTGAAGCTGACATATCAGAGGACCCCTTCCTGGGCCCACGTCACTTACCTCTGGTCGTGTACCCTCCGATGACGTAAATTTTGCCCTTACACTCACAGGCAGAGAACTCGGCCAGAGGGTTTGGTAAGGGCGCCACGAAGTTCCACGCGTCCTGCTCGGGACTGTAACACTCGACATTGGAAACAGCCTGCCCGCCAATGGCGTAGAGTTTTGAATTAACGGCCACAAGTTTGAAGTTAGATCTGAAAGAGAGAAGACGAGGGCCCACACAGTTATTCTGATCATTAAGAAATTGGACAACAACGGCACGAACTGCTAAAGCAGAGTGTGGAATCCGCTGGGCCGCTGAAGAAAATTCACTCTCCACATGGATGGCCGTTCTGCCTGCAGACCAAGGAATGGCCAAATGGCACCTCAAATTTCCCTCTTGTCCCCCAAAGTCCACAAGAATGTTGCAGTCTCCAAACTTTAGCAGTCGAAGATAAGTAATTCACTTGAACAAGGGCTGATCTTTCTCAGCCTGACCAGGGAACCAAGGTCGTTCTGTATGCAATGAACTCAATACCTTCCTTTCAGGGGCAAGACCAGGTGGTAAGGGAGAAAAGCTCCCACACCACTTCCTGTCTCTCTCTAAACATATGAGAATGTTTATCTCATTCTTCCTACCATGTGGATAACCTCCGTCCTAGGTACACACCAGCATTGCTTACACAGGTAGGCACATGCAAAGTGTGGAGCTAAAAGTGGTTCAGCCCTGCCTGGTGTGGCCCAGGTAGCTGGGCATCGCCTCACAAAGCAAAAGTTCGCCAGTTTGAGTCCCAGTCAGGGCACCTGCCTGGATTGTGCGTTTGGTCCCCAGAGTGGGCATATGCGTGGGAGAGGTGACTGATCGATGTTTCTATTTCCCATCAATGTTGCTCCCTGTCTCTTTCTCCCTAACAATAAATAAAATATTTTAAATTAATTACTTAAAGATAGTTCAGAGACTCCACTACCAAGTGCACGCCCAAAGAGATCACTGCTTCTCCTTCCTCCATAGGAGAGCATCTTCTATGGTGCTTTGTAACAGGAGAGGTGGGGAGATAAGCACTGAACCAGTTAAACATTTTGATCAAGCATTCTTGGGGTATTTACATGTTAACTCAGCAAATACTTGTATCAACAAGTGCTCACCTATTGTAATATTAAATAATTTAAGACAAAGGAGAAATACACAGGTTTCAAGCCCCATACTTAGTAACAGAATTAAACGCTGCTCACAGGCTTCAGACAGTGGATAAAAGCCTCGTGACCTTTGACTTGGTAAGATAACATTAGTTTCATTGTAGCACACGGGGATGAATGAACTCCTCGGAGGCCGGGAGGCTCAAACATTTGGAGTGCGGGGCCGGTCTACAGTGGTATGTCCAAGGGTCTCAGTTTACAACAGTAAGAGCATCAGCGTGAAGCAACAGAAAGACCGGGACACAAATCAGGACACCGGGTGTGAGTCCCAGCTCTGCTGGTACCCAGGCACTGGACCTGCCCAACCACTTGGCTTCCTCTTCTCTAGCAGGGGTAACACCCAGCACAGGGTACTGGTCGTTTGGTGGGTCAGGACACAGCACACAGTTTATCAGACCGTACCACACAGGGGTAAGATATTAACACTCCAGTTTCTCCATTTCCAAGTACCTGAAATAAAAGGGGCCAGGTACTTGGAGAGTCACGTCTCCTGCAAACACAATGATTTCTTCAAAAGTAACAACATCCGGAGAGAGAGAGGGGCTACAGGTGAAAAAGGTATGTAGAGGGTGGACTAAGAAGCAGCCGTTGAGCCAGCAGTCCACCCTCGATCTCCTAAAAGGTGTTCAGTAAACACTAATGCATTATGATTCAGATTTTTAAAGGCGCTTGTACCGTTTATAGTTCAGTAGCCTTAGTTTTGTTTTGTTTTTCAAATCAGAGAGTGAATAGAGTACTCTTCAGCAAGAAGCCCATACTGTCCCTTAAACCCAGCCAGCCACTCGAATGTTCATGCCAACAGACCTCACAGAGGTGGCAATTACTGGGGGGTCCCTGGTTCAGGCTGCTTACCTTTCCTGCTGCCAATGGTCCTTAAAACCTGACCATGATGCCCTCTCTGTGTGCGCAAATTTGGGGAACCAAAGGAAATAAAGCTGGTAAATAAGCACTCAGTTGTACCAGCCCGCAATTTGTTTTTGCTTCCCGTAGGTACACAGATAGTACATTTTCTTGGATCAAAACAGCTTTTAGCATTCATCCCGCATCATCATTTGTCCTGAGCGAAGATGTAAGGGGCTTCTTTTCGAGGTTGAATAGGCAGTTAAAAGTAAATGCCACCTCTCCAGACCCCAACATGCTCGAATTCACTTGAAGAGAAGGGAAACATTTTTTCAACACTGAATTTGTTTGAAGGTGAAATTGCCACCCAAAAACAGACCGCTTAATGAAGAGGCATAGTGCTAAGGATTATGAGCCCAGGTTTGTTCAGAGAAATCTCAGCTCCATTGCTCAACTGCTCCATTGCTCCATTGCCCATTCCGCTGAGGGCTCCTTGGACAAGCCACTGAATGTCAGGTTTTCTGAGCCCCAGTTTGCCCACCTCTGAGGTGGGGCTAAGAAGAGAGGACAGTCTACTCACAGTTATTAAGAGCCACACCTAAAACAAAAGCAAACTAAGAGGACAACTAGATCAGGAGCAGAACCATAGAAATGAAGATCACATGGAGGGTTAGCAACAGGGGAGTGGGAGGAGGAGAAGGGGGGAGAAGGTACAGAGAATAAGTAGCATAGACGGTAAGTAGAAAATAGATAAGGGGAGGGCAAGAATAGTAGGGGAAATATAGAATCCAAAGAACTTGAGATACATGGTCATAAACTAAAGGGAGGAAGGGTGGGGGAGGGGGTATGCAGGGTGGAGGGGAATGAAGGGGGGAATAGAACAACTGTAATGGCAAAATCAGTAAAATATATTTTTAAAAAAGAAGAGAGCAGCCTCATAGGCAGTAAGGTTAGAAAGGGCAGCACTTGCAGAGACAGGTCACTTAGAAGGAATGCTCTTCTGCACGTCAGGAGCCTACGTGTCTCAGCTGCAGGAAGGTCAGGTTCTCATTTGTCCACTGCAGCGGCTTTTGTTACTGGCCAGTGGACTCTGAGAGTCCGTGCAAACTGCTCTCTTCCACAAATCCTTGCCGCTCTCCACCCCATTTCCAACTTTTTAAAAAATAATTCTTCTACTCTTCATTTCTTGAATGGTTAAAGTATGAATTCAAGCTATCAATTGTTTTTAAAAGTATGGTCTCTGCAGTGTTTTTCCTAATATTGATCACTGACAGAATACATTTGGGAGGCAAAAAGAATTTTTAAAACCAGATACTCTGCTTATAGCTACATACTTGACTTATAGTAAACAGAAATGAAAGTGAACAAAATTAAACAATTTCATTTCTGCTTCCCTTAGAAGAAATGAAAAGCTCTTTAAATCCTTAAAAGCTACGTAACCTAAACCACGACAAACAGCAGTGCACAAACATTGATGGTTAATAGCTGGATGCTAGGGCAGGGAGGCAGCAGGCACCAGGTCCGAGCAGCAGAGGGCGCTGGCCCTGTGACTAAATATGCGCTCATTACACTCGGGGAGCCTCAGTTTCCCCGTTGGGGAATGGGACCGATAATCGTATCAACCTCACAGTGATGCAGTGAGCATGAAAGGGGAATTGACAACTGAAGTCCAGACTGCAATGTGCTGCCCAGAGCAAGAGCTCAAGAAACATAAGCCACGGCTGTGCATTTCTCCATAGAAAGGTTCATTATTGTCACAGTCAGAATGAGAAGCCCTGGCTGGTGTAGCTCAGTGGATTGAGTGCAGGCCTGTGAACCAGAGGACCGCGGTTCAATTCCCAGTCAGGGCCCATGCCTGGGTTGCAGGCCAGTTCCTAGCAGGGGACACACGAGAGGCAAATGTTTCTCTCCCTCTCTCCTTCCCTTCCTTTCTAAAGATAAATAAAATCTTTAAATAAATAAAAAAAAAAAAAGAATGAGAGAGAAACAGCCAGACCCGCTAGACCCTCCCTTGCTCCAATGAGAGAGAAACAGCTCCAATGAGACAGCCAGACCCGCTAGACCCTCCCTTGCTCCAGTCCTTCCTCAGCTACACAGTCTGCAGGGCACCCAGGTCCCTCTGTGTCCGCTTCCCCCTCTGCTGCCACTTCCCTGCGTATTAGCCTCCCCCGGGGACCAGGGAGAGGGGAGACGTTAGGAACATGTAGTCACCACCCCTGAGAGACTCCAGTGCAATTTAAAGTGTTGGCCAACATTCCGCTGGGGGCGGGGGCGGGGAGTGCACAGACTGGTAGGTGTCCCTGGTAGGTGTCCTCCTTTCACATCGATCCCCGGCTGCGCCGCACCACGACCCTGGGGTACACGGTCTCCTGATGGCTCCCTGTCTCTAGAGAATGCTCGGAACACTAAGCTGTGGCTCGGAGGACAGCGGACTGCCAAGTCTGACAACTCCAACACCACTTCTGCCAGCAGACTGTGTTTCTTCAGTGGCCTGGCTGTGGCAGAAAAGGAGGACACCAACTCCGAGTTCGGAGCAAAAGTGCAGGGCAATGGCAGGGACTGGAGGCCAGGTCAGAAATACAGGAATTAATGAACTGACTCCTGCCACAAGGGCCAGTTTCTGCAAGTTATCCCTAATTAAAGAGAGCAGGGAAAACAAGCTTTCACGTGTGAAGAGCTAGGTCCCAACACCTGAGATCACATCCGTGTGCAGACCAGTTGGCAGCGTTGCACACCTGGACTGGGACGCAGCCTCTCAGAGAGTGATGGGTACTCACTGCCATTTTCAAGTGTGTGGGTAGAGCACTGCTCATTTCTTTTTTATCCACCGCTGGTCACACAGCACCCTGTTCTCCAAGGTGCACAGGGTGTACAAAGGCTCCTAATCCCAGGGTCCTTGCCAGCCCCTTGCTAAGTAAGATTCTGGAATCATGACACTGTTCAGTGCCTGGGGAAAGCAAGCTGCTCTGACCCCTTTGTCAAAGTAGAACGGTGCGTACAGCCCAAGAGCAGTGAATCAAAGTGGATGTGAAATCTGCCATTCTGACGGAAGCTTCTGAGTTCCCTCCAGTGCTCCCGGAGCCTGTGCAGGCTGCATTAGCCAGAAACAGCTAGGTTTCATTTTTACTGGTCTCATCACATAAACTCAATTTCAAATTCCTGTGGGCAGGGACCATGTCATCTTTGCTGTTTGTCCAATGGGGATGAGAAAAATGCTGGACACAAAGGCTGCGGTGAAGCTGTCCACACGTGATAAAATTTGAAGAGTGGCGCAGCACCATAAAATATCTGGGCTCTATTTCTTGGAAGAAAATCATTTTTACAAGGAAAATCTAAACATCTGCATGAAGATGGTCACAGCTGGTTTATAAGCCATAACTTGTAAATACTCTAAATAGTTATACATATTCAATAGATACTTACATTTTGGTTACTAAACTTAGTTCACACCCTGAGCAATCCATTTAATTTTCCACGCCTTGGTTTCTGCTTCTATAAAATGGGAACTGGCCTAAGACAGCCCTTGTGAAGAGTAAGTGGAAAAATTACATGCAAAGTAGTGAGAACAGTAACTAGCACAGACTAAACTTTCAGTTAAATGTTACATATTATTTTTCAGTGATTCTAAATAACTATAATGACATACGATTAAAATGTTCACTATAATATTATAGTTTAAAGTAATATAAAATTATACATTGGCTTTTATTACAATGACATAAAAATATATGTCACAATTCAACAAACCATGCATTGCAGGCATCTATTGTTTTTGGACACCATCTCTGCAATAGGAATATGTAAGCTCTGAGTAAGTAACTGGACCTGCCCTGGCCGGATGGCTCAGTTAATTGCAGCGTCGTCCTGTACACCAAAAGGCTGCAGATTTGATTGCCAACTAGGGCACATACCCAGGCTGTGGGTTTGATCTCCAGTAAGGGTGTGTATGGGAGGCAGATGATCGATGTTTCTCTCTTATATCAATGTCTCCTTCTCTCTCCCCTGGGTCTAACATCAATCAACATATTCTCCAGTGAGGATTTTTTTAAAAAAAATAGCCTCCTCCATATATAAATAAACCCAAGTGAAAGGGAGAGAGACACTCATTAACAAAACATTTCAGTTAAAGTTGGAAGTCTGGGAGAGGAGCACAGCCGAGGGTTCAGGAAGGGACCTCTGGTGCAGGCGTGTCAGATGGCGCCAAAGGAGGAGGGAGATAAAGAAGGGTGCAGCCGCCAAAACGGCATCAACGACCAGTTGGACAATATAATGGAAAATGTATCTGGGTAGGAAAAAATAAATAAGTAGGAAATATCTAAGATTGATCCTAACTAAAAAATATACAGACACTGAAAGGATAATAATTTAAAAAAAAAAAAAACCCTTCTGGGAGGACCAAAAGACCTAGAAAAACAAACCATCTTTCAAGCTGTAAAGTATTATAAAACTGTGAATTGTCCTCCAAATTAATCTACCAACAGCACATAATCCTCACCAAAATCCCAACAGACCTTGACAAGCTGATTTTAAAGCCTTGACTGAAGGAGATGCACAAAAAACAGCCAAGAAGTTAAAGTAAACAAAGCAGAACAAAGAGGTCTCTGTTCTACCAGACAATAAATAAAATCGTTTCTAGTTTTTTTTGTATGGAAAAAGACATACTGGTTATGATTACAACATTAGTCTTATTAACTCTAAAGAATGTCACTCACAACTGGAAGCCCATTCTTGCCCAGTCCACAGATCACCAAGCTCCCATAATTTTAAAATGTGTTTCTGATGCAGGAAAGGCCGATGTGCCAATTTGAAAACAGGAAAATTAGCATAGAATAACTGGTTTTGCAAATCACAGCAAGAAGGACTGAGGGTCCTGGGACATTTAGAAAACATGTTATATAACCTCTCACTATACCTTAAATGAAAATAAATCCCAAACAGATTCAGATCTAAATGTAAAAAGACAAAATCATATGGCAGATCATTAGATAGATGAGTATTTATATAGTCTTAGCTTGTACAATTCTTTCCTGTGTGAGATAAAAAGCTCAAGGAACACATGACAAATTTGAATACAAAAAAAAGTTTTAATATCTTCATATACAAATATGCTACAACCTGAATCCCAAAACTGGAAGCTCACAAGGCCAGTGCTGGCCTGCACTTTGTTAGGTCTGCAAAGCTTTTATTGCTTTTGTTGGTTTAGTTGTTTTTAAATGGAGTAAGCTGCCAACATTTAAAAAATCAGGATATATAAATGTCTGGCAACACCATTTCTACTTCCACTTGGCAATAACCAGCTGTGGCTGAAAGGTGGAGCCCTCTTGTGGTGGGGTAGTAGCTCTCTGGTTTATCGTTACGCCCATTCTCTACTGTCCCTGATCACTTGAAGCATTTATGATCAAATAAAGGCAGGGAAAACATGTGTAACATTACCTAAAAGACTAGAGACTAATAACCATACATATAACTTACAAAATAAATATGAAAAAGATAAATGAGCCAATTTTTTTAAGCTGTCAAAGATTACTTATAAAAGTATACAAATGGCTGATAATCACATGAAAAGAATAATCTCTCATTTGGAAATATTCACACAAGTCACTTATCCAGGGATTCCAGGAACTTGCCATGTAGAACTAACTCACATATGCCTAGTAAGGCATATACACATATAAGATGTTCAATACAGTATTGTTTATAATGGCAATGGAAGCACTCCAAATCTTCACATATAAAAGAAGGGCTAATTACATGATGGTATATCCATGGGCTGGAATACTATGTAGCCACTAACAAGAGTGAGGTAGACCTATGTTTGCTGATACAGAAAAGAACCACCACCAGACACAGGCATGTTAAGTGGAAATAACATGTGCTATACATGTTACAAGTGCTATAATAATCAGCATACCTTCGTCTGAGTTAAAATGGACATGTATAAGTTACATATACACCCCACATGTACACCAATCATATATAATATATAAGTACAGCTAAGGACAAGAAATGTTTTACTCTATAGTTTTTCATGTCACTTGCAATTTTTCTAAACATGTATTCAGGCATTACTTTTCTTCTCAATGGGGACAGAAAGGGTATTCCTATGGGGGAAAAAAGACCACCAAGTATCGGTCAAGACAGAAAGAGGGGCACAGTGTGAGCGTCATGGAACCCCCGGCAGCAAGCGGAGCTCCAGCGGACAGAGCGGGAGACTCGGGAGAGAGGTGATGGACCACCCGCTGGGCCTCCCACCCTGAATCTGAGCACCACTCACATCCGCTCAATGTTTCCTTGTTGCTTCAGTAAAGCTCCTAAAATTTGTTTAAAAATAACGCTTCTGATATCGAATTTTAAATATGCTGTCATGTCAACGGTATAAGTAATGCACTAAAATGAGGCTGAAAGGCAGCATGCTAACCTGCAGATGGTTATTGCTGCTTGGAAGGGGGAAGGGGGAGGGACAGCCTTCCTGCTCCTTTATTCTTTTCCATTTTCCCAGTTTCCTAGAATAATTACAAATTATTTTTATTCTTCAGAAAAAACAGAACGTTTACCAAAATAAATGTTCTATTACAGTAGAAATAAAGCTAGCGCTCCCCAGCCTGGGAGCCCTTCAAGTGAAGTAGATATGTGTAGTGACTTCCCCATCCCTGTTAAGACTTTCCTTGACAGCTGGTGAGTCCCCGACTCTTCGCTCCACACCTCAGGGCAGGAGGCGCGGTGGGGCTGAAGACAGACACAGGTGGGCTAGGAGAAAGGCTAGTCTTGTTCTTTCTTGGGTTACACTGATTCCTCTCCCCACTTCTGAATGGCTGTGGGGCCATCTTGGTCCCTACTGCCTTTATTTCCTACCGCCTCTTCCTGTTACCTGCCTTGCTCTTGTTTTCCTATTCCTTCCCTGCCTCCTTTTTCTAACTGCCCCCCCCAGCCCCAACATCTCCTTTTCCCCTCCTTCCCTCGTTATCCAAGTGCATACTGGGAGGGTTTTGAATGATGGGAAGGGAGAAGGTTGAGGTAGGTGGTAAAATTCCAACAGTGTAGGTAACCGATTCCAGGCTCAAGCTTTGTGTGGATAGTAACATGACTGTCAGGGAGAAAGTGAGATGCAGAAGAGAGGAAAAAAATAAGAAAGGCAATCCTATCCAGGTAGGGTTAACACAATCCTCAGGATTGTCTCCTGATAATAGACTGGTGCCTCAGGGTGGAAGCCTTCTGCACTAACACCACCACAAAGTCCCCCGAAGTCAGTGTGACAGGCCCCTGCCCAATGTGCCATCACTATCAGGATCAGAGCCATAAAGTTTTTTTAAAAAGTAAAAATAAAAGCAAAACTAAAGAACAGTTGTAAGCACCCTGGGAGACCACAATGTTTCCCCCACACTGGGATAAAGGCAAAGAAAGCAGTTTGCCTAAAGACAATACCTGCAAGGAAACTAGTCAGCTGGTTGACCTCACTGGGGCGACTTCTTCCTTGAAAGTTCTTAGTTCATTGGGAACTTTGCCAGAGTCAAGGCCAACTCCAGATGTCATTCCCACCTCAGCACACCCTCCTGGGAGTGCTCACTAAATACGAGGGGAATGAACTCACAATCAAGCGAACGAATGGGAAAGCAGCAGCGCTCTGCTGGGGGCTTACCTCTTCTGGTTCATGGAGGCCACCTGGAGCCACTCGTTGATGCTGGGGTTGTAGGAATGCGCCGCGGAGATCTCCTGGCTAGTGATCCTGTACCCGCCCACTATGAAGAGGTAGTTGTCCAGGATGGCAGACCCGTAACCCCTGACATTCACCAGGTCGGGGGGAAGGTTGTTGGCCAGCGGAAACCAACGTTCAGTCATCTCCTCATACCTGAGCATGGACGGGGGCTCCCCCTGGTAGGGGTGAGGGGCCAAGGGTCCCCCCAAGAAATCCCCCAGGGCCACGAGGACAGGCGTTCCAGTCATCCGGGCCTCCCTCAGCCTCTGCTTCAGGGTGACATCCCCTGGGGCTTGAGCAGGAGACCCCACCAGGAGGTGGAACTGGGGCTTGCACAACACCTCGTGAAAGTGGACGACCATGAAGCGCAGGCAGGCCTCCTGCAGGTCGGGCAGCCCGTACACCTGCGCCAGGCGGTACAGCTCCAGGCAGTTGGTGAGCCGCACCTGGGACAGCAGCAGCTGCAGCAGGGACGTGACCTGCAGGAAGGAGGCCGCTTCCACCAGCTCGGACAGCAGGCTCACCTCGTCCATCTCCTCCTCCTCGGCCGCCCCCCCGCCCTTCTCTCCCCGCGGGCCCAGCAGCCAGCCCTCGCGGGCCCCGCCGGCGTTGATGAAGTCCAGCACCAGGCGCAGGCCTGGCGCGCTGAGGCCGCGCAGCTGCTGCACCTCGGGGCCGCCGGCCTCCTGGCCCCGGGCCTCGCGCATGCCGGAGCGGTAGAGGGCGCGGAAGTAGTCGCTCTGCTCGATGAGCTTCCTCTTGCTCACCGGGTAGCAGCGGTCCTCCAGGCGGATCTGCACCATCTCCTCGGCCGACATGGCTGGGGGGCCGGGGGCCGCGGGGCCGCCCGCCAGCTCTGCGCGCTCGCGTCCCCGCCCGCGCGCTCGCCGGGTTCCGGGTGGGGCGCCCGCGGGCGGAGACCGGGCAGGGCCGCCCGCTCCCTCCCGCGCTCGCCCGGCCTATCCGGGTCGCGGCGGCGCCCCGAGGCAGCCCCTCCTCCCGTCCCGGGCGCGCGGCTCCGTCCCGCTCCCCACGAGCGGCGCCCCTGCCCTCCTCGCCCGGCTCGGCGCCAAACCGGGGCCGCCGCGCACCGGGCGGGCCGTCCCGGGCCGCGTCAGCCCGGAGGGTGCCCCTGCCCCCCGCCCGCAGCCTCCTCCCCACCCCGCTTCGCACTTCCGCCCGCAGGACCCCCACGGCCCGGCGGCCGCGGCTGCCCGGGCTCCTCGGGCTGCGCACCGGGGGCGAGCGGGCGGGGGCCGCAGCTTCCCCTGCGGGCCGGGCGCGGCGGCGACTCCGGGGGCCGGAGGCGAAATGCAGCCGGTCTGCCGTTTCTCCCGCGGCGCTTTACGAGGGCGTGGGGAGAGGAAAAAAGCCAAAGAAACGGGCGAGGGCGGAAAGGGATGAAGAAAGCGCGGAGTCCGGGGAGTCACAAAAGCACCACGTCTGGGACCACACATCTGGCCCAGTCCCGCTTCGCGTCCCGGGGGCTGCGGCTCCCCCGCCGTCTCTAGACGTGCGGGTGACACCTGGAGCCGAGTCCCGCGGGTCGCGGAGTCGGAGCCATCTTGCAGAAGGTCCCGCCAGCTGGCAGCAGGCTCTGCGGGGCTCGGAGCGTGGGGTGCACCGGATAGAAATGATTGGGAAGCTGGGGAGCTTGGATTCCCTGCGATTGGCCGTTGTCCGATTTGGGCTGTTAAAAGAAAGGACAACTCGATAGATCTCGTGCCTTCTTTCAAAATATTTTCCAACAAGGGGGGAAGCCATTGCTTTCCCTATTTCGGCTTAGTTGGGCTGGCCATTACGAAATGTTATTTTGGGGCAGAAGGGCTGGGCACTTCTGCTCATATTTGGCTACAGAGATGGCTTTCCTTGCCACCCTCTAATCCCCACCCCACCCCCGCTTCCACCCCACTCCGAGGACTACTTAATGAAGAACTACCTCTTCCCTATCTTCTCGCATATTGCTTTGCCATGAGGTATGAATTAATCCTGGGGAGGGATAGGATTGGGTGCCAGCGAGGGTGTGTTCACTCCTATCTTATAAGAAAAAAAAAAAAGTCCTTGAAAATTTTCCTGCACCAAGATTCGAGAACCAATTGTAACAGTCCTTACCTTGGAGAGAATATGTGTTTGGACTTTGTTTTCCTTGTTACAAGCTTCAGCTTTCTTCTTGAATGACAAGTTATTAAATAACACCTTCTTCATAAGTACCTCTCCCCTATTTCAAACAGAATATACTTCAGGTGCAGAAAGTCATATCTGAAAACCAAATTCTTCCAACACATTGTTTGCTTATGTTTGTACCTCTTTCTATGTAACTTAGCTGCTTCATAGTAAAAGAAACACCATCCATTATTTTCTTTACAATACACGGTGAATGAGGAAGTAAAATTTTAAAGACATAGACAAAAATTCTAGTAGATTCTAGGCCCCTGGGAACAGTGGAGGAACTAAAGATGAATTTATGACTTCTCTCTTTCACTTTTCTTGGATTCTGTGAAAAACTTCTAGCCTCTCAGCTTGTTTCACCTGGCCTTTATCATCACGGATAAAATTTGACTCACACATGGGCCTCTCACACTTGTCCTCAACGAGGGGGCAGGTGAGACACTCCCAGGTCCTTTGGGGGTGAGTGACCAGGAATTTAGCAACCCCTCCGGGAAGATAAGGTACCATGTCCGGTATTGGGCATTTAGCTGGGGAACTTGTGCTGAGAGGTGGCCCCTGATTCAAAGTGACTTAGACCTGGAATTTATTTGTGCCTCCATCAGTGACAATGCCAGACTCAGTGGGTCAGACAAGAAGAACAGGCTCTCAGTCTCTCCTTGGTCCCTTTAGAATCTTCCACCAATAGATGCTTTTGTTTCCTTACTGTCATAGATATGCCTCAGACTGGTATTTGCTTGCCTTTTAAAAACAGACCAAAAAAAAAATCACACAGAAAGAATGATGTGCTTTAGAAAAGCAATTCCCACACAGTAATATTATCAGAGCAAGATCAACTCCGACAGGGAATCTGGGGTGTCAGTTTGACAATCCTGGGCACCGATCCTGTAAGCTTTTTGGCCCTGACATGATAACATCATTAGGATTGGAAGCATCTTAGAAGATCAAGTCATTTTAAAAACATGCAGTAAACTTTCTGTTACACTAGAAAAGCAATATACATTATTTTATTTACAAAAGACCTAAAATATTATTTCTATCTAAGCTTCACGAAAACATTGCTTGGGGCATAATGTTATAAATCTGTTCTTGGCTGATCACTGAAATGGTAAAGACTGGCCTTTGTGGTAACTACGATTAACTTCAAGCACTTTACGTCATGCTCTGTCTTACAGAAGACTAAAACAATGGCCAGACACAGAGATAAGCTATTCCTTTAAGAATTTGTGGGAAATAACTGTGAGTTTGCTGTTCTTTCACTGTTCATATTTTTTATCTTCTTTTTCTTAGATAAGTCCCTTTAACATTTCATATAATAAGGGCTTGGTGATGATGAACTTCTTGAATTTGATCTTATCTGAGAAGCACTTTATCTGCCCTTTCATTCTAAAAGAAAGCTTTGCTGGGTGGAGCAATCTTGGTTGTAGGTCTTTGGAGTTCATGACTTGGAATACTTCTTTCTAGCCCCTTCTTGCCTGGAAGGTCTCTTTTGAGAAATCTGCTGACAGTCTGATGGGAACTCCTTTGTAGGTGACTGTCCCCTTATCTCTTGCTGCTTCTAGGATTCTCTCCTTCATTTTAATCTTGGCTAATGTAATGATGATGTGCCTTGGTGTGTTCCTTCTTGGGTCCAACTTCTTTGGGACTCTCTGAGTTTCCTGGATTTTCTGGAAGTCTATTTCCTTTGCCAGATTGGGGAAGTTCTCCTTTATTATTTGTTCAAATAAGTTTTCCACTGGTGGCTGTTCCTCTTCCCCTTCTGGTACCCCTATAATTCAGATGTTGGAAAGTTTAAAGATGTCCTGAAAGTTCCTAAGCCTCTCCTCATTTTTTTGAATTTGTGTTTCTTCATTCTTTTCTGCTTGGTCATTTTTATCTTCCTTCTGGTCCACTCCACTGATTTGCGTCCCAGTTTCCTTTCCATAGACCTGACTGCTGTGGCTTGGTGGACTGGAGCATCATCCTGCACACCAGACAGGTGGGGGTTTGATTCCCTGCCAGGGCACATGCCTAGGATGCTGCTTCTATTTCCGGTCAGGATGTGTATGGGAGGCAATGGACTGAGGTGTCTCTCTCATATCTCTCTCTCTCCAATCAATAAACATTTTTAAATTAAAAAAAGAATTATGGAAAATACAATTTTTTTCCTGGAATGGAAAAAATGTAAGTACAATGGAAAAAATGTAAAAATGGTTGTCTTAGTGTTGCCCTTAATAATAAACAATTGGAAATAATAATAGCAGCTCACATTTACTGAATGCTGTAATGTTCATTACATGCCACACACTGCTAGGCTGTGCACGGACTGCCATACTGCTTACAGCACTGTTTTTATATGCAGCTGAGGTTCAGAGTAAGTTTTCATGCATGTGGAAAATGAAATACCATAGAACTATTATAACTTTCAATGTAGAGACTACATACACATATATAGTCTCTAAAGAAATCTTTCAATCCTATATATATATATATATATATATATATATATATTCTGATTAAAAAACATGTTCTAGAACAGCATGAATCCACTGATGTGAAATTGTGTACATATATTTTTTTTGTACTTTTCTATATGGTTTGGATCTTGTAAATGAATGTACATCAATTTAATAAAAGCAAAACAATTTAAGAAAATTAATGACATTTGTTTTTAGACTTCATTTCTTTAAAATAATTTACATCAGTTTTATCAAGTGATAAAATTAAAATATTAAGTAGAAATACAGTTAATGCCTTTAAAATAAAGATGAAATATTGACTGTTTTTTAAATCTTTTTAAAAAGATTTTATTTATTTATTTTAGAGAGAGGGGAAGGGAAGGAAAAAGAGAGGAAGAGAAACATCAGTGTGTGGTTGCCTCTCACGTGAACCCACTGGGACCTGGCCCCCAGCCTAGGCATGTGCCCTGACTGGGAATTGAACCAGCAACCCTTTGGTTTGTAGACCCCTGCTCAGTCCACTGAGCTACACCAGCCAGGGCCAACTGTCTTTTGAATTTAGTAAACCTATGCTATTATTTTACTACCACTTAAAAATAATCTTTATTTTTTAGTCCCTCCAATATTCCTCATTTTTTTCTGTTTTTTAACAAGTAAAACCAAATTTTCTTTCTTTTAAAGCCTATGGGGCAATTTAAATGAGTTAAAAGTAGCACAGTTCATTAAGTGTCTCTATTTAAATCAGGTCGAGCATCTACACCTCTAGCAAGGATTCCATTCAGTCAGCTATGTCAGTGTTTTTCAAACGTCTTAGGAGATCACCTGTACCACCTACTTACACAAATAATAAACCTGCTTCCCACAACAGAGCTACTGAGCCAGGCTCTTGGGAAAGATGAGTGGCTTTTAAAGCAGAAGTCTGATTTGATTTTTGAACCCCTCCCAAAAGTGCCCACTGGAAGATAAGTTTGATGTACTACTGAAATGCAAATGGTGCAGCGATTCTGGGGGTTGGATGTAACTTGTACAAAAGCTGTTTGGCCCTTCACGCAGAGTGGAAGTTGCTCTCTGGTTCCTGCAACTTTGTCCCACAGGCACGAGTTCCCAGCCTGGATGCTCGCAGCCCCACACCTCAGCCCTGTGCAGCCCTTGGTGCACCTGCCCTTTTCAAAAGACTTGGCTTTACGAAGTCACTCATTTCCAGACTCAATATTTGTGCAATTATCAAACTGATTTTAAGGTTTTAAAGCATGCTTTCACGTTGGAATTTGTAGATCTTTAAAATGCAACTCTGACCTTCACTTGAACATCATTTGATAGCAAAAGGATGAAACAATTGTGGATTGTTCCGTTTTCCCTTCAGGCAACATGAGAACTTCAAGGAATTATATATCACACAAACGAAACTACATTTAATGTGACTTGAAAGATGTGAAGGTTAGAAGGTTAGAAAGTAGACTTTCCAGTTTATGTCCTCAGGGTATAGCTATGCAGTCTCTTAGAAACCGGGGAGTAAACTGTTGTTCCTCCGTCCCTTGCTCTGCCCTTGGGATCCTTGTTCTCTCTCCCCTTTCCAAACAGATGGAAGTCAGATGGTTAGCAGGTAAGCAATTGAAACTTGCTGCCTCTGAGTTCCTTAGAGTAAAATATTTATCATTTTCCGTGTATTTTATGTGGCTTATGCATGCTTAGGAGTTACTATATTATATAATTTTTGCTTGGAAGAAAATCAATGTTCTGTTTTTGAAGTTATTCAGTCTTTTGAACATTTTTCTCTTTATTATAGATAAGTAATATTTATGTTCCTAAAAATCAAAAGATTTCTGATAATTAGGCTATTAGAAAACAGGCAGAGAAAGTTCAAAGAATGTTCACATTTGTGTGTCAGTGAATGAGCCTTTGTGCAACAAGTAGGAAAGAAACACACAGGGTATTTCTTAGATCACAGGGTAGGAAAGGTTTATTTAAATTAAAAAAAAAAAAAGAGTAGTACACTACTTTATGCCTGAAGCGGACTGCCACTAATGTTTTGTATAAAATGGATACAAAAAAAACAACGACCAAACTAATGTCATCTTGGATACCATGGGACATAAAACATACAATCTTCACGGGAGTGAGAGGCCATTGCCACTGCCTTTAATGTATCGTCAAATGTTTGGCATTGCCATTCAAGTAATTTTATTAATATTGAGAAATTTAAAAGCACGTTGTCATTTTCCCAATGCACATTTCCCAGCAACTCCTGCTTCGATCAGAAATCCTGCGTCTTTCAGGATGAACTTCACCACGGAGGCTGCTCTGTAACGTGCAAACACAGACATCAAACACCAGATCAGACAACCCCCAAGTTGAACTTCTTTGCAATTTTCACTGTGAATTCCACTGTCTATTCTTAACTGAACAATATACACCTTTACTGGGTGTTATATTCCATCTGCCTTATGAGGCAGTTCCTTTTGCTGAATCTTCAGAGTCTTCTTTTAAGAAAGCTTTTGGCCAAAAAAAAAAAAAAAAAAAAAAAAGCCTGGGCCTGATAAGTAGCCAGGACCCATATGCAATGTTTTCAAAATCGCAGCAAAATTAAAATGTTTAATTTTCATTTCTTTCAGTTTTCATATACTTTTTCGTAAAAACAAAAATTTCAAACCAGTACACAAACTGGTTTTCTAGTAAACCTGAATACTAAAATTTAAATTCAAGGAAAAAAAGAGATAATTGAAAAAAAAAGCTGTAGTCACAAGTTCCTTGCAAAATGATGTCTTGTTTCTGTTGAAATGGATCCTTCTTTTATCTGATGTCAACTGACTAAACTATTGTTTTCCTCCGAAAAATTCTCAGCTAGGATTTCCACTTGTCTTTATTTTTACTTAGTAAAAGGTGTTTGTGACAATTCACTTTCAGAGAAAGAGGAGAGAATCCATGTCTTTAAGAGGCTAAGGGACGAGGTAATGAAATGGCCTGGAAAGTGCACAGAGTTAACGCCAGCAGGTCAAATGTTCACCTGGGGCTCCGCTGGGAAGAAGCAAAAGAAAACTCAACATGCAGTCAAAGAATGGCCTCATTTTTCTGGAAAGTGACACTCTAGATGAGTTCCAAGGAAGCTGTCCCTTAGCAACAGCCCCGAAGTCCAGACACTGTCCTAATCCGTGATGGTCAGCTCCAGCTTCTGCCTGGAAATCAGATTCATTCCTGCATCTCCTCACCAGGGAAATGCATGTGGCGGTGTTGGCAGCCGACGTGATACTGCTCCTGAGCATGGGGCGGACGGCAGACTCTCTCTGCTCGCCCACTATTTTTTACAGAGACTGCTGGATCCGCCGCTTCCCGGGGCTCCTGCTGGACCTGGAGGAGTCCCAGAAGATGGGGGCTCAGTTTCTGAGATACTATACTGAAAGCACCGGTCAGAAATGCAGTCGGAGCTGCTGCCTTAGAAAGGATGGTAAGTATTAATGATGCATCTGAGCAAAAAATAAGAGGAATCTTCCAAAATGAAGACCTAAGGAAGGAGTCCTAGGCAGAGGGTCCCGGGAACAGCTGAAAACAACTAGGGAAGACGGATGCCCCGAGATGAGGGAGAGGAGCAGAGAGGGAGAGACACTGGACAGACCGCAGCTGGGGACAGTGTAGGCCCAGTTTACAAACCTGGTCATGACCCAGAATGCTATGGAGCCTGCAGGTAACAGAGAATCCTCTATTCTTCTGTGGCGTGCTAAATGAAAGTCTTTCTTCAAGTGTCAACTAACGATATTCCTGTAGCCCAGAGAGAGTGTATTTAATTTCAAACATGTTTATAATAATTTTCTTTTCAAAGTTCTTTGGTGATATCAGTGTGATTTCAAAATTTTTAAATGTGCTTGCTTGTGTTGACCAAATGTGGGATGTACTGAACAGGAATTTAGATTGTGGTTCATATCTGGAAACAAATAAAAAGATTTTTTCTTAGCCTATAATAAGAAAAAAGAGGAAGAAAGGGGGAAGAGTGAGAGAGAGAAAGATTAAGATTAATTTTCAAAACATCCTACCAGATATGTTCTGTCTGAAATCCGATATTAGGGTTTAATAGCATCCGTATAACAGGACCAAAGCCTGTACTTAGGCAAATATGTCATTGTCGCAGAATTGCAAGTTACAATTGTCTGAAGACTTCTTTCATTTATTTTTCATTCTGCCAAGATTTTAAAGCTTCTTAGAACGAAACAACAAAGCAACACAACCCTTTAAAACAATTCTCATGGTTGGTTCTGATTACCAGTGGCCCACGCCTCCCATCCAATTATGCACGCAAGATTTCAGATGCAAATGGACCTACTTGGACAGTCTAAACTGTCAAAAAATTAAACATAAATAAAACTGTCAAAAGACCACGGTTGTGAGAAGTTGTCACAGCCTATCCGCAGAAGTTAATCAGGCACAAAAGACAGCAACTAATTTATTAAAGGAAAATCTTTTGGAAAAGGTAGCCAATCCAGATGGTCGCCTTAGAGAGGCTTCTAATTCCAGAACCCCCCTCTGAGGGGCAGCGGGGGAGCAGCGGTACTGTCTTGCTCAGCAGTTTCCCAGGGCATCCATGTACCTCTCAACACCAGGGAAGCAGAGGCTTCTGGACTTTCAGGAGACTACGAGCCTGCAGGGGAGCTCCATGGGTTTAGGGCCATCACAGCTTCAAGCTGTGACCTTCTGCAGAAGCAAGGGCACAAGCACACATCCCAGTTTTTAGCTGGAAGCCAGAAGAACTTAAAACCGCCACAGTCCTGCACGAGCTAACCTGCTCAGAAGGATCTCTGACATGCACACAAAGAGGAATGTAGAACACTTATAAAAACTATTCCCTACAGCATCGACTTTCTTATCAGAAATTTAATGTCTACGTTGGAATATATTTTATTCCTTTCCCTTAAACTTTCCAGCACAGCCTCAGGGAATGCATTTGTGATCTATAATGTATTAGCGGTGTATTATTGCCTTTTGTCCTATTCTTTCTCCCACTGGAAAAGCTTTCAGAAACACGGGGTGTCCCAGAAGTAATGGGGGTTGCAGCTGCCGCAGGAAGAATGCGGGTTCAGGGATGGCAATGCCACAGCAGCTTTTGGCAGCTCTCAGGCCTGGTGATCACACACAGTCGCTCTGTAATCTTTTATTAAAGAGGCTGCTATGTTCTGGCTGGTGGACACTTCCCGTCACCTGGTTCCCACCACACTGCAGCAGGGAAGCGTGTGGTGCACGTGAGGGCAGATAGGCTGAAGATTTGCATTTCACGAGGATGACTTCAGGTTCTCCAGAAACAACACGATGTATTTGAAGGAGGGCACTTACTTAGAAATAAGGGAGATAGGCTGAGCAAGTAATGTCCTCCTACCCACTAAAACCTAAATGCTAACATCCTTATCTATCTACTCCTTTCCTCTTTGAAGGACACTGATGAGGCTGTTCATCGGATGTATTGGTTTGCAACGTGTGGCCAGAGCATACCTGCAGTCAGGGTCAAGGCCGGCGGCCTCTCCACCACCTGGCCTTGTAATGTTGTCATTCCTGTTTTTTGCCGTTTCTGTTATTCCCTTTTCTGTTACACCATTTGTCCTCTTATTTTCCTATTTCTTTCTCTGGTGAACCTGAGCATTCTAAGAGAGCATTCCACTTAGAAATCTGGTGTGTGTGTGTGTGTGTGTGTGATTACATACATAGATATGTGTGTATACATGCATATCTGATATGTATTTTCTCCTGAAAGGGTGGTTACAATAGTTCCTAACGTTCTGTAAGCGGTCCGACTATGGCCCTGCAATGCGCCATTAGTCCCACATTCGTGACAGAGATGTGCTAGCAGAGCTCATGACACGGGTAGAAACCAGGACCAGCTGCAGGGGCCTTTGCTTTTCCCTTCCAGTGGCCTGTAACCTGGCCGTCTTCTACCACGACCCGATTCACGACAGCGTCAACTGCCTGCACATTCACTGCCCAACGACAGAGAGCTGCATCCTGGAGCCGGGGACCAGTGCCATTTTGTACACCATCACAGACGGTAACGATTTCTGGGTTTCGATTGCTTTTGGAGAGTGTTGGTAATAGCCTCCTCATGGAGGCATTAAAACTGACTGGCAATAGCCGTGTATCAATCCCTACATCATTACTTTTTTTCAGTGAGTTCTCTCAGGGTAGAAAAGGATAGAGCATCCAGGATTGAAAACTGAAAGGAAATTCCCTTTAGTTTGACATGTTCAGCAGTTTGATACGTTAGTTTGATAGGTTCAGCAATGACGAGTTTATTCCACATGATAGCAAATCAAGTGATTAACAAGAGGTTAGGCATTATATTTCATTTGTCACAAGTGCCCTCGGCGAGAGCCAAAGTAGGCATTTCTACTGCAGTGGCTAAGGATACCACTAAGAAATAATAGTACTAATAATAAGAAGAAGCAGCAGCAGCAGCAGCTAAATGACAATTTTGGGGGCCACTGACACTGAATACACAAACCCGAGGCACCACCACTTATATGCATTAGCATATCATCGGCCCCAACATAACCAGTGAGTTTTGTTTTAGAAAACACACAACTTAAGTGTCCTTTGCCCAGATATGTAGTCATTTCAGGGTGTAAATTAGTAAACACGAAACAATAGGTTTCTACCATCAAAATACAATGGAGGTGACTTACCAGTTTGCACTTTCTGCACGACTAACGCCCTGGGCTGTGTGCACCATTGCAGGAGGCCACAGCACGCGTCTGCGGTCAAGTCCCTTACAATCTGGCCGACGGGACAAGTCTTACAATTGGTGAACGACGTAGAAGGGGCAACTAAGGCAAGCTAGACAGTTCAGAGGCTTCAGGGAAAAGGCAAGACTAGCTCTGCACCACACCCCGGGAAGGAAATAAAACTGGTCTGGCTACAGTAAGGGCACCCTCGGGGCTGCACTGAAAATACAGCTGAGGTGGGGTAGGCTGTGGGCAGAGTAGAGTTAGAAAACAGCACAGTATTAAGTGATAAGAGGCCATCATCTAAGTGACGTGTCTGGTACCTTGGCCTCGGGACAGTATTGGCAGGAGGCAGAAAATGCAGTCGGGAGGCAGTTTGTGGACAAGGTCACGGAGCTGCAGCGCAGAGGAAGGATGGTTATCCGCACACTGGGAAGGGACTGGGCAGCACTGCTTACTTCTGGACATTGGAAGACAGGGATCAAAAGTCACTTTGCATGACTTGGAATACCTCTTTCCAGCCCCTTCTTGCCTGTAAGGTCTCTTTTGAGAAATCCGCTGACAGTCTGATGGGGACTCCTTTGTAGGTGACCGTCCCCTTAGCTCTTGCTGCTTCTAGGATCCAAAGACCTACAACCAAGATTGCTCTATCCAGCAAAACTTTGAATGGAAGGACAGATAAGGTGCTTCTCAGATAAGATCAAATTGAAGGAGTTCATCATCACCAAGCCCTTATTATATGAAATGTTAAAGGGACTTATCTAAGAAAAAGAAGTTAAAGAAACATGAACAGTGAAAGGACAACAAACTCACAGTTATTAACAACCACACCTAAAACGAAAGCAAACTAAAAGGACAGCTAGATCAGGAGTGGAAACATAGAAATGAAGATCTAAGGAGGGTTAGCAACAGGGGAGTGGGAGGAGGAGAAGGGGGGAGAAGGTACAGAAAATAAGTAGCATAGACAGTAGATAGAAAATAGAAGGGGGGGCAAGAATAGCATGGGAAATATAGAATCTAAAGAACTTGAGACACATGGACATAAACTAAAGGGGGGGTAATGGTGGGGATGGGGGGTTAGGGTGGAGGGGAATGAAAGGGGGAATAGAACAACTGTAACAGCATAATCAATAAAAAAAATTTTAAAAAAAGTCACTTTGCAGAACAGATTCCACCACGGGGGCTGAGAGAACAGCAATGCCACTGAGTAGCACAGAGACAAAAGGATTGTGGTTTGGGGATGTTCAGTGATGCCGCGCGATGTCTACCTCCAACAGAGCCCAGGAGAAATGAGATCAGAGCTCCAGAACGAGGGAGAAACCGGGATGTGCCACCAGTGCAGTGGTGCCGGCTGATGACAATAGTCTCCTAGGAGAGAGGGGGTATGCGATTAAAGGAAAATGCAGCAGATCATGAAAACTGCACAACCAGTTGGGGCCAAGAAGAGAACTAGCAAAACAAAGGGGGAAAAATGAGAGGCAGGACTCCAGGGCCCTGGGAGTCACGGAAGAATTAAAACAAAAAAAGGGTGGCCAGCAGCATCAAGGACAAAAGGGAGCCAAGTGATAAGACACATGGGATCAGGACACGAGGAAACTACTGGTTATCTCAGACGCATAATTTGACAGAACAGCTAGAATAGAAAGGCAGGACAAATAAAGAGGACAGAAGGCAAAAAAAAAAAGCCAGCAAGGAAATGAAGGAAATGGGTGTTGGTGTGTCTGGGGAGGGAGGGAGGGAGGGAGGGAGGGAGGGAGGGAGGGAGGGAGGGAGGGAGAGAAATCTCAGCATCAGGGACAACTGGACGGCTGCTGAGAGAGTTTCTTCCCCTTGAAAGTCAAAGCAGCATTTCTGAAGTCACAGGAAAAGGAGTTCATTTTCAACAAGAGAGAAAATACGGCAGGACCCTTGGGCGCAGGAAAGGGGTGAGATTTAGGGCTTTGCTTATGATTTTGAATACAGCTACACTGTCTGGCCCTGTTTTGTTTCTTTATTTAAAAACGCTGCAAGATACTTCGGACGGTTCCTGTTTCTGTAGCTCTGGCACTAGCACTCGCTACTGTTGCCCCAAAGCCCTGCAGCACCACCCAAAGTCAAACTACCTTCCCTCACTGTGTGTTGGGCCCCTTGCACCCGCCTCTGGCAACCAACACATGGCTCTCCGTGTCCACGGTTCTTAGCTTCTTCTGACCTATTTCACTTAGCATAATGTTCTCCAGGCCCACCCATGTTGTCACACATGGCTGAGTAGTACTCCATCCTGTGTATGCATGTACCGCATGTTCCTTCTGCAATACCATTGAAGGGCACTTCGGTTGTCCCCACGTCTGGGCCGTGAACAGCGCTCCCATGAACGTGGTGCATGTGTTTTTGTAAAGACACGTTTCCGACTTTTTCGGGGAGATGCCCAGGAGAGGGATTGCTGGGACATAAGGTAACTCTATTCTTAATTTTTTGAGGAACTGCTGGACTGTTTTCCATAGTGGTTGTACTAGTCAAATGAAATGAATGAGGCTTTATCTATCTTTCAGGTATAGATCCAGATTTGCTGGTTTTTGGACAGGCGCCTCCCACACGTCTAAATGCCCATTCTTCATCTAACGGGTGGGAGGCACTAAGGAATCTGAAAGCGATGAATGTGCGTCAACAGCAGCCCCCCACGGTAAAACAGATGCTACCATCGACACAGGCTCCGGCATCAACCACGCATCAAGATTGGGTTGTGAACACAAACCATACTAGGTATTCCAAGGAAGTAACCACAGATTCTTGGGCAAGATTCATTTCCCTGAACGATTCCACTGCCACCAAGGTAAATAAGGTGTCACGCAGTGCTGCCTTCATCAGCAACCCAGATAACAAGACTATCTCTGCTTTCTTTGTGCCCACAGACAGGAAGCCTTCTCATATGCCCATCCCATCCCCCCTCAACAGCAACAAGCAATTGCTGAACAAAACCAAAGGCTACAACAGCGGGAACCACACCTCTGAGAACGAAAGCAAGACACCTAACGGGGCACTTGTGACTTCAAAGACCTGGCTGGTGCCTGTGGTCCTCTGTACCGCCGTCATCTTTCTCTGCTGCTGTACAGTCCTCCTGGCATCTGGATGCTGTCGAAAGAGGCGGGGCCAGTATAAACCAGGGCAGAGAAAGTCGGCACCTGGGCAACTTAAAAAAAGTTACGTGCTGAAGGAGCGCTCGTAATAGCACGAGTTGTAAGCTTTGAAGAGTATCATTCTTAGTTTTCTGCAAGTGCTGTTTAGTTAAAAAATAATTGCACAGGATGCCCACTCCTACCCATAGCTACAAAAAGCTAATGCTGGATAAATGTTACTGCGTTTTTATTGTCTTTTTTTTAATAGTGTACCCTTTTGTCAAATTTCCAAAACTCTGAGCTCTGCAGTTACTGAGCATCGTGTGAGGGATACAGTTCTAAGTGTTGTACATGTACAATTCTTTGTCTATACTATTATTAGCCATTACGCTATTATGATATTATACAGATGAAGGAACTGAGGAAAAGACAGACTAAGTATCTTGCCTACTGTCACACAGGTACAAAGTAAGTGACGCTAGGTCTTAACAGGCCATCTGTTCAAAAGTCCATTGTCAAAATCACTGGTAGACTAAAAGCCTCAATTTTCTTAATAAGCATGGGGAAAATATACAGGGAGAAAAACACTGTAACATCTTATTTGTCTCCCATCAAGGTCAAATTATTGTTACATGTTAATAAAACCTTCTCTACAGTGGTTTGAGCACAAGAGCACTATAAAGGATCAGTTAATAACCCGTGAGCAAATGCTTCCTGATTTTTATAATTTCCTATGTTTCTTTGGTTAATCCTTCTCAATCCCAAGCCATCTTCATTTCCTAAAGATGACGCTCCTTTGTGTAATGGTGGCATGGAGATCTTTGAGTTTTACAATGACTCCTGATGAACACACTTGGCAGTTTTAGTTCCCATCTCTTGCTTACATACACTGTTCATCCAGCTGCAAATATTAGCACTGGGTACTTCAATTGTGTCCACTTCTTGCACCAGATTTACCTAAATCTTAGACTCAAAAGAAAATTGTAACCTACGTCTCTAATGATCAATTGGAGGCCCTTAACCTTCTCCCTGAAACTTTTTAATGTGAGAAAAGACATTAAGACAGGCATAAGCATCAAGAATATGGAACAGAAAATCTTTTTATAGATATAAAATAGTACTGATCCCTCAGAATATTAACCATAAGTAAATCTGAGTTAAAAATTTTAATCAATTTGCCTTAACTTGCTATTTATTATAATAATATCATAAATTTGTTCAATTTCCTTCCTAGTACATTAGGGGGGAAAGCCCCTGCTATTTAGGGGGTATGTCAAGATTTACATTATCCCAGAATTATGTTTAAATAAATAATTCAGGAAGCTGTCTTTAAAAATTATTTCTACATTCATTCTTTTAAAAGATTACTCTTCTTTCAAATGTGTACAAATCACTTGCGTGTCCCAACACACTAGGGCTGCTGGGGGGGAAGAAAGGTTTTCTTTCCTTAGAGTTTCTCAGGATTCTACTCTTTCCTTAAAATTGACAGTTTCATGGAAATGACCACAACTTGGAAACCATATATTTATCTCCGTAAGAAAACAAACTCATGCTCTTCTTCTTCAGCCCCTACCTTTGGCCATCAGGTAAACCAAGTAAACTTCGGAGAGGTAATCAGACCAGAGCCAGACAAAAAACAAACACAACTGGGCCTAGACACACGTCCTCGGGGGAGGCCAAAGGGACCAAAGAACGCTCCTGAACAAAACTAGAACTTTAGGAAACGAGACATCGGGCCCGGTGTACAACTAAGGGTAAGGTCGTTACACCCACTTGGGAAACAACCACGTACTGAAATCTCTGCAACACTCTCGGTAGATCTTTAAGTCTGTAACGGGCCAGTATTATGAAATACCAATGCTGGAAAGAAAATAGGAGAACTAAAGCACCCTACAATTAAGAAAACAGGTTTATTTGCCTACGTGTTTAAGCAACTTCTGAGCTATTTAACTTAAGAGTTTGAAGTCAAAAGTGACTGCCTCTCAGTACAAGTACAGCAAGTGTCCCCCAGAATCTCCATTGCAAGGGTGACTATGATGTTCCTTGTACATACTGGATCAATGAATAAAGGGCAAACATCTACCTGACAAGCAGTGCTGTTTAATTATGGCTAAAATCACAATGACAGCAGCTGTTACCTTTTAAGGTAGTTTTGTATTAATCTTATAGCTCTTGGCTATCGCCATCCTAGGTGTGTGAAAGCCTTCAGGTCAGTGAGCCAAACTGCAAAGGTTGAAGGGCACAGTCCGGCACAGGACCACCCTCACACTTCTGACAGCAACCTCAGTTCAGGCTGGGGTCCCTAATCCGCGCTCAGGTTGGACAATTTACTACAATAACTCACAGAACTCAACAAGAGTGGTTACACTCACGGTTGTGGTTTATTACGGGCAAAGTGTACCGATTACAATCAGTCAAGGGAAGAAGCGCAATTAAGATGAAGTCCAGGAAGGTTCAAAACCCATAGCTGAGGGTGGACTCTCCCCATCCACCCAGGCAGGACGAATTACTCTCCCCGTGCGTGTCTGACGACACGTCCAGAGTATTACCAACCAGGAGAGCTGGCCCGAGCCTCTGCGTTTCAAGTTTTTACTGAGGCTCCATTACATAGGCATGATTGACTAATTACCTGGTAGTTGATCCCAGCTGCCAGGGGGACTGATTTGCCAGATGACTCAAAGCCCCCACCGAAATCACATGGTTGGTTTTCTGGCACGCCTGAAATTAGCAGGTGTGGCCAGCTCCACCCTGAAATCCACTGTGAGTGGCTCAGCCCTAAACAAAGACACTTCTATGAGGTAGGACAGAGATTACCTTCCAGAAGCTGAAGAAGAGGCCAGGCCTTTGGGAAAGGTCAAATTCTTTATTACACACCACTACCCCCCGCTTGTGCCCGCACTGTATTATTACTACAGGATCGAGGACCCTCATTTACTATTCTTCCCAAGTTCCCCCGAGACGTTTCCCCCTTCAGTCCTGTTTCTGCCACTGGGTTTTCCTGAATTCTGAAAACAGTAACATTTCAATACTTATGTAGGTCTCAACCCTGATCTAAAAATTGCTTTGTTTACTTTGCTGTTTGTTCACTATTTTCACCCAGTGAACTACAATGTACCTCCCTCCTTTTCATATTCAAAGTCCTATTGTCTTTTCTCATTACCACCTCTTGGGCTTGCTAATACCAAATCATACCTTTGATTTACATAAATCTTTTGGGCAATTTTTTTGACATTCCCTTTGGCTTTCCTTTTGTCCTCTAATTCTGTCAGGCAAAGCAAGTCTTAGGCAAATAAACTCAATAATTCCTTTATTTTGTTTTTAAATTAATCACGTGTGGACAACTTTGGAAGTAGTAAGAAATGACTTACAGATATACTTAAATATACTGCATTGACAGCTAAATGGAAGGGGACATTTCTTAGGGCAGTTCTCATTTTGTCATTTACTGTATTAAAACTCAAGGTCTATATTTACACCTCATCTCTTTCTTCAGTTGCGGAAGCTCTAATGGGGGATTCAAGAGATAAATACCGGTTGATCTCCATTTCCACGTTCTGCAAACTTGGGCTTGGGAAAACAAGCCCAAGAAAATAGAGAAAGTAAGGTGCAAAACAGAATGGAATCAACATAAAGTGACCCCAAAATAGAGGAGTGGAACCAACTTTCTACTTCCAATGACCTGTTTCCAATCAGAATTCGCATCTGCAAAATGCATGGAGAAGCTGGCACCTCGGTAAACAAAGCACCACACTGCAGTGGGGAACTGAGTTCTGGGCCTGCCTCCCCAAACCACCAAACCACAACCCAGAAGCATCCAGTCAGTGCTCATGTGCAGGGAAACGAAATAACTATCTTATATAGTTATATATGTGTGTAACTATGTACATATATAAGTTCTGAAGTTGTTCTGGTAGAAATAAAATCAAACCCTTTAAAACCAGAAGCAATCACGGAGATCTAATTAGTCTAACTGCCCCGGAATCTAAAGAAAATTTGTGAATAATCATCACCATTGTGTATTAGTATAAAAGGAAAAATTTTGACTCTGAAATAAAACTAAACATTCTATAAACATTTTTAATTTTTTATCACACTAGATAACAATTACATATAGATGAAAAAATTAATAAATCAAGCATATTTTTGTACACAATTCACGTCAGATTTAATAGTCTCTTCACTGATTCCTTGTACTGAGCAAGGGTATTTTCATTGTCCCCCTCGTTCTTAAGACTAACAACAGACTTTTTATAATCTTCAACCTCTTTAGTACCAAGAAGCTCTTCTTTATTTACTTCCAGCTTTTTCTCTGCGGCCTTAATTTGGAGAAGTGTTTCCAGGATGTTTTTTTCTGATGAGCTGTTTGTCCATACATACTCTTCCATGTCTGCTTCCGTCTTATGTTTCTCCCATTCCTCAGTTTTCTGAAAGGAAAAAACGAGTTCTGAATTCTGGGAAACATCACCCAAAGACACCGTTGGCGTTGCGAGGGGAAGAGTCGTCTGGGGAAGGCGGCCAGCCCTGCGCACGTGAGCTCTTTGCCATGGACACTGTTCCCACCCATGGACTCCGAGCGCACACAGCAATACTGTCTTCCAGAAGACATATAAAACTCCATTTTTGCAGCTTTCTAGTCCCTAAACTCTAACGCATCAACAGGCTACATTTCTGTGGTTAAAAATAATGAGAGTGGAGACTGTATTTATCTTTGTAACATGCCGTTGGCGTAACAGGAAAGACCAATTATTATAATGAAATTAAAAATATGAAGTATGTGTGTAATACATGATTTTCAGTCATAATGACTTCATATATTCTGGAATTTTGCTTTGGTATTATCTTTTCTGTTCCTATAAAGGAAATAATTCTTGTTACCACTTTTTCTTCTTACAAAAATTATTACCAAGCTATTCTAGGGAGCAGTGGTAGGTTTCACAGTAATATAATCAGCCTTATGATTTAAATGCAGATGGAACATTTTGTGAAGAACCAAGCCATGCAGTAGGTAAGCAAGCTGCTCTGGTTCAGAGAAGTGCTGAATACCAGCTACATTCTTTCCAAATTAACACACGACCAGATTCCGAGCTACAGGCTATCACAGAACCATCTACTATTCCTACAACTTTAAGGTGTTAACTTCCAAAGTTATAACTTCTAAAGCATTAAAAGAGAGGTGGATTTGAGGGCTGTCAGAAATTATTTCTGCAAAGTCCTGATGGAGCCCGCAGCCTGGGCACTGGTGAGCACCGAGAATGCAGTAAGGGTTTTCACCCAGGTTCCCCGCCGTCCTCACCCCAAGGAAAAGAGGGCGCGCACTGGAGCTCTGCCCCTCAAGGGGTGGAAGAGCAGCCCCACCGAGCACAAACAGGCCATGGGGGCTGCCACCAACTCGGCAGATGCCAGTCAGGTGGAGGAAGCCTAGGAGAGAGGTTCGCCTACCACGGAAACCCACACCAGGACGGAGCCCTCCTTGCATCTCTCTCTGCTTCCAGAGACACCAGTAGGATGGGAAGGTTCCCCAGCCCCAAGTCCCTTAGCCAATACAGGTACCTATACTCACAGCTCCCTGTACTGTCTGCCCATCTCCCTATGCTGAATTTATGGCTGAGGACAATGTCCGAACTATTATTCTAGACATATCTTACGTGGTTGAGAATCAACTCCACGACCCCTTTCTGTCTGGTCATGAGACTTCAGGCTTGGCTGAGGGTAACAGAAATCCCGTGAAACTTCTCCTGTGGTGCCTTGCCCGTGTACACACTGTGGCAAACGATTTCTAACAGCCAAATTCTGAACTTGTACATTTAAAAAAGTTACTGACAAAATTACCCTGCCCCATCTAATTCCTTCTGTAATGTTTGGGGAAAAAATAAATGCCAGTCCCTTAAAAAATGCTCTGAGTAAAATGGTCCTATCTACTCTTAGAAATGCTTTAAATGTTTCAAGTCAATGTTGTAGTTTCTTCATAATTCTAATTTACAAGTGAAGGATATTTAAGAGGCCAAGAAATACATTCTATAAAGCATTACGTATAACAGTCAATCCATCTCATTCTTGACTGCTAGAAATCAACTAAGAGATTGTTATTTTTAATGCAATAGTAAATTGGTATTAACAGATTAATATGCTTCATAAAGACTACTTAACAGCTTAAAAATGTTTCACCTGGATTTTGAAATGACTTTTTATTTACTGATTTTAGAGAGGAAGAGAGGGAGGGAGAGAAGTGGGGGAGAAAGAGAGAAAGACATCGATTTGTCATCCCACTTCTTTATTCACTCACTGGTTGGTTCTTCCACGCGCTCTGACCAGGGATCGACGTTAACCCTGGCATATCGGGACAACTCTCTAACTAACTGAGCTACTCTGGCCGGGGCTTTACCTAGATTTATCGAGATTTTCTTAACTGCTTTGAAACAGATGCTTAAACGAGACATAACCAAAGTAAATACACAAATCGCTGCCAACTATAGTCCCCTGACATTCTGTTACACAATTCTACCCTCGTGTGCCAGGGGTGCTGCAGGTGTGCTGTGATACCGACTCCCTCAGGCCTCGGGAGCCCAGGTGAGCCTGGAGCCATGAGGAGTACCCTCCTCCTCCACTCACCTCAATTTTAAAGTTATACTGTACTGATACTATGATGGGGAAACCTATAGCAACAAACTGCAAGAAAACAGCTCAACAGACAGAGCTCCCCTTGGTGTGTGACTGCTAGGGGGCGCCCTTTCGTACACAGTTGCTGAGAGCCCACTACCTGCTTGGGCAGTGCTGAGAGGCAGGCCGCCTCCATGCGCCCAGCTAAAAACGAATGTTTTCACCTCCCATATTTTAGGCAGAAGGTACATTGGCTTGTTCGTATGAGATACGTGCTGACATCCCCCTCCAGGTGAAATAAAAAATAGTGCTGGCTAAAACAAAAAGCTCATTATTCAAATGTGATAGCGCTAATCATTTACATAAGTCTATTAACTCTACTAAACACAAGTTTATTTTTGCAATTAAAAAATCTACCACAGAAATATCGAACATATACAGAAGTACTTCAAATGTGTGCAAATATACATTTTGTGTGCATGTCAGACGACAACACTGTGAACTCTCATCCATCACCATCTCGTGTCAACACTCGACTCTCAGCCAACCCTGTTTCACGTACGTGGCTCTATGTACAAAAGCACTGCTCCCTTACCATGCTCTCACGGAATTATTTTGAAGGAAACCTCAACCTTTGTCATTTTATCCATATTAATTTTTTTCTTAAAAAAATAAGATTTTAAAATCCTGACCACAGTACTGCAGTAGTTTGTGGCACTTTGATTCACAAGAGCCTAACCTAGGTCAGCCTGTTCATTCATTCCATTTATTCATTCATTCCATTTACTCATCCCATCAATCAGCAATTCCCGTGTGCTGACGGTCTGCCCAACAGCTGTTTCCCTGGTCTCCTCTTGCCCAGAATTCTGGCCACAGTTACTGGACAATGCCTGGCTGAAGCAGAGTCCCTCCCTCATCATTTGAATCCAAAGAGAGAATTAAATTTAGCTTAGTTTAGTTTTTAGTTTCATTTCTTTGTTCCTCCTCGCCTCACCTCACCTCTGCCTTCCCCCGCCCTGGGGTGACTGGTCCTTTAAATCCTGAAATAGTGAAGGTCATGCTTTCTGACATGTAGACTGGAGGTGGAAAGAAAATCAGTTTCAAACAAAAAATATGAGGCAGTTGCCTACAGAGTAACAGGGCCCAGGGAATAAAAACTGCCCATTCCTGAGATCTTTAGGATCCTTGCCCTCATACCTTCTCAGCGTAAGCTGCTTGAGTGAGTTTCTATGACTCACAGCAAGGGGGTCTTGACTAACACACGGAGCCCAGGAGAGAGGCTTGACGACAGAGTTTGGAGTCCATCAGCATATACTGAGTTGTCCAAAAAGTCCATTTGTTTTTTTCCATAAAACAAAAGATAGATTTTTCATCCTCACCAAAATTTTTATAAATTTGGATATTCTGAGAATCTGAGGTATATTCCAAGTGGAATAACGTTCATTGTTCTCAATTAATGTCTCAATTTGATCACCACCAACTTTACCTGACCTACTGACTGTGGAGCATCACCCAGCAAGAAATCTCCAGCACAAAACTTTACAAACCACTCTGACATGTTCAATCTATCACAGCACCTTCTCCACACACTGTGCAAATCTTTTCAGTTGTGTTTTTATGTTTCTTAAAATAATAAAGTATAACATGGTAAAAACTGTTGTGTATTTTCTTCCATCTTCAATATTAAAATGGCTACAAAAAATTTCACCAATTTTAGTAAGTTTTTTTTACAATGTACATTGATATGACAGCTGTCATGATATAATCTAACAAAATTGTTTCAAAAGACAGCTAAGTGCTGCTATAGCCATATGGAAAAAAACAAACTTTTTGGCCAACCCAATGCAAGATAATTAACATCATCTGGGAGAAGGTACAGAATGAAGAAAAAAGAGGGAAAGGACAAAACTTGGGAAACAATTAAATATAACTGATTTAGACTAAAATATGTAGCACAGATTTCTCGAAACATGGCATTTTCAGTTAGAAATATTAGAGTTAAAATGGACCAGTATTATTTTTAAATAAGCAGTATCTCCAAAATGTTACACTTAAAAATAACAATTTTGAAATATGATTTTTACATGTACATGACTTTAAATGGTCTTTTTGGAAGTTTCCTTTTTTAAGAAATGAACAAACTTTTTTTTTCAACTTTAACTTTTTAACTTTAACGTATTTAAAAGCAAAAGCTCATGAAGGGCCCCTGAAAACAGGGGTCGGAGCGGAAGTGGTCATTGTGCGGAAGTGGTCATTGTGCGGAAGTGGTCATTGTCCAGAACTGAATTCGGATACAGTATCAGCGGCTGCAGTTCCATACACACCTCCCACAGAGAAGATGGGAAAAGTAAAGGGAAAGAAAACCGTCTGCGATTCCACCACCCCAAGGCAACCCACCGCTGCTGGGGACACATCATGCTGGTCCTTTTAAATCCATTTTTGAAACATTGCCATGATTAAGTTTTACTTACAATTTATAACTTATAATTCACAGTCAAAATGTTTGCTTCAAAAATACCACCCAGGATTGAAAGTGGGCAATTGTTTAAGAGTTTCTTTACAGCCCAAAGCGTAGTTAGAACGTATTAATTTTAAAGAGTAAACACCAGCATGGTCAAATACTAGGGAGCAAAAAAATCACTAAGTTCAAACTGATCATCATTCAGGCAAAGAATCTGATGCCTTTTTTTTTTAACACTTCAACCCCTGAATATTTATAATTCCCCATTTAATTTACAAAGGTGAATATCACACATATACAGACAGTTATATAGTCTCTCTTTTCTTCCCTGACTGCAATGAGAGAACCTGCTCTGACTACAGCAAC